AATGATAACTCAGTAAGGTACAAATGTTATGAAGACGTCATGGGCAGAATATGAAAGGAACAAGACTCAATCAACCAATAAAGTCAGATGTTGCTGATCGGATTTCTGGATGCATATCTCTCAGTGTTTTATCCATATCTTTTGTTTGGATGAATAAAATCACATCATTCAAGTTTTGGTGGATAGAAAACTTCATTATCTACAACTTTTTGATCATAAAAGAGGAAGAGAAGGGAGTACATCTTTTGGCGTAGCAACCGGCGCCGGTCAGCCCACAACCGGCGCCGGTCATGTGGTTTTTTCCGAGCAAAATGAGCCTGTTTTGAATCGGCACCGGTCGGGACATAACCGGCGCCGGTGGGGGCGATTTCTGCACAAAACAGTCCACCTTGCAAGAGGATATTTGATGGGAAAACTTCATCTTCCTCATTTCTTGATCAAATACTGCTCCATACCTGATTGTTGGGCTCGAATAGACTAGAATATGTCATTCTTTAGCGTATATAAATTCCTCAATTCATCAAACATCAACATTCCATTCCATACTTTAATTCCTAGCCTTTTTTATAGTTTTTTTTACTCCAGGGGGGTCTGGGAGAGGGGGACTGAGGGGAGCCTGGAGTAATCATGGCTGAAACTCAATTCATTGAGTTTCTAACCCTTGTGTGCCTAGAGGGATTTGAATTGTAGCATTGATCTTTAATTCATAGCTTTTATATTTTGTTCTTGCTAATTTTCTTCAAGTTCTTGAGGAGGAAACTTCAACCTCCGAAATCATTGGTGTTTAGGTATTATTTCCTTTGTAATTTCATGTTCCATTACATTTCAATATTGTATTGTGATTAATATGAGCATCAGAGTCTAATTTCTTAGCCAAGGTTAGGGATGAACCTCTATGCCCACTAGGTGTTTGATAAAAGTTCTAAACCAATAAATTGTGATTTATCTTTTATATTTTGATTGTTTATGACTATGGTGTACAACATATAAGTATGTTAATTTAGTTTATGCTTACAATTAACGTTGAAGTCTAAACTATGAATATTAAAGGATAAACATATACAGTACCGAAAATAGAAATATATCCGGTCTTATATGATACGGATGTGATGTCTTGATATTCAACGGGGTTTTCGGTAGATGAATGTAAGCCGTAACGGGACTTACACGTAACGAAACTCACGCTCTCGTTTCCTTAACCGGAGTTGAGAATATATTAGCGACATCGTATTCATGATTATTGGGAAAGAACAATTATTAAATACCTATTAAAGCATTTAGGTGAATCCCGGTTGTCTTAGTAATCTCATTCTTGTTTAAACCAATCTCAAAGAACAAAATTCCTGAAAAATTATACCATTTATATTCTTTTGCATTCAATATTCGACTTTATAATATCAACCATTTCCATGTGGATCGACCCAGTATTTACCGGTATTTTATTACTATATCGGCACTTGTATGCTTGCAAGTTCAAACCGGTCATGGACATTTAAAAATTATTGGGGCATCTGCGGTGACAGTTAAATGCTATCGGACTATTTTACATCTTATAGTGCCCCCTTTGAATGTTATCGGGTCAATGTCGAATTCTAATGGACTACTCGTGATGGTGGTTGGGCCTTATCAAGAGAAAGATAGTAATATGGATCCCTTGGGAACAAATTTAAGGATTAATTAATTTGGATCATTTAAAGATATTCAATTAGTTCAATTTCTAAAGTAATGGGCTGACTCTATTAATCTCTATTTTGAGCCCACTATTAAATAGTGGCCCAATATATAATAGACATGATCCAATTTATGAAGGGAGCAATGAATCTAGTTAAGAAATCCATCCATATGTGTGAGAAATAGCGATGAACCATGTTTAAATAGTGATGGAGTATATGGCCCGGGAACCCCCGGCCCACAGACTCCTACCACTCCAACACAGGCCGAACAGGCCCAAGAAGCACATGGGGCCCAAAGCACTGCGGCCCAAGCTCGAAGGAACCCACGGTACACCGGGAGGATGCCTTCGGCACCATGGCCGAAGGCTTCAAAACTCACAAGCCAGCCAGATTTGAGCATACAAAGCTACTGGGAGAAAATGACTGAATTTGGGAGCCTTTAGCATCTTCATGCCCTCGGCATAGAAGTAGCCTTCAGCTACACCAAGCCTTCGACTGCAAAGAGCCGGGGCTATGGGGGAGCCTTCGGCTGACAGCTCGATCATCAGAGATTCCATTTGGAGACAAGCAACCACTGCATTTAATGCGGCGTCACGTCCAACCACCGCATTTAATGTGGTGCACATGCGAGTGCCGGTGCCACCCCGATTGAGGTGACCCCTCCGCCATTGGATTGTTGACACGTGTACTCTCATCGCATTTATGGCTGCTATAAATAGCAACCCTTATTCCTCTGGTAAAGGATCCAAGAACAAGTTCATTTAATATACTTGGCTCTCTCTCTCTTACTTGTTTGCTCTGACTTTTCTCTAGTTACTCTCCGCAATAACCCTTCGGATAAGCTACCCCCGGGTACACTATCCATCAAATAGCTATCCAGATACATCTCACAAGTGTTTTTCCTAACTATGAAAATGGAAGTAAATGGGTCCCGAAGACTTTCCATCTGAAGCCCATGAAATATGGACAAAATTTAAGATCTTTAATGCATATTTCATCCCCTTCACCTCTTTAATTAGGCGTCTCAGTTGAGAGAAGAGATGAGATAATTCCCACACGAAAAAACGCTCCCAAGAATATTTAAAAAAACTCCGGAGAGGCTCTAAATAACTCCAAAAAAGGAAAATAAATTAAGCCACAAATTTTATTAAGAATATACCGATAATTTTGTTCATTCTTGTGAAAATAAGTTCAAAATTTGAAGAACGTTCGAAAAGTAGAAGAACGAAGCTCGAAGATTTGAATATCTAAAGAATAAAGCTTTGAAAATTCGAAGATTTGAAGAACCTTTGAAAATTTGAAGATATTGATATGAAGATTGAATCTATATTCAATTGAAGATGAAGCCATATTTTTGGAAAGCGTTTCAACGGAAGATCAAGCCATAAAAATGACTCTTTTATTGAAAATCAAGCTATTTGAAAAGAGAGGTTTTCAAGTTGAATTCTACATTCAAATATTCAAAGAACGAAATTTTGAAAATTTGAAAATATAGAAAACAAAGTTTTGAAGATTCGAAGATCTGAAAAATGATGGTTTGGAGGTTTGAAGATAAAAAAACGAAGATTTCAAGAACAAAGTCTTGAAGATCATAATAACGTTCGAATATTTGAAGAATTCTTTAAAGTGAAAGTGAAGAATCAGAGGATGCATATTTAGACATTGAACCGATTTAGTGTAGATTGCGGCCTTCTCTCTCATAGGGTTTGGAATGTGCCGACTTTTATGTTCGGCAAGGTTTGGGGCTATGTCGGGTGCAGCGGCGAGATCGAGCGCAAAGGTGCGAGGGTTGGGCGAAGCGGTGCGAAGGCGATGTGAAGCGACACGATTGCAGTGGGGGCGTGGGTTCTTGCAGCAGGGGCGGTGCGAAGCGGCGCTATCGACTGCAACGACCTTCCCTCTAGGAGGGTTTCGTTTCTCGCAAGCTTCTGGTGCGGCTCGGTTGGCGACGATCGAAGACATCAGGTTTGGAGATATAGAGCGGTTCCAACAGATTTCTTCACTGGGAACGGTGGCGCAGAGCAGTGATCCTTCAGGGCAGATCAGACAGAACCATGGCGAAGGCATAGGGGTGATCGATGGTGATGAAGAAAAGTCGGCCGAAGCGGAGGAAATCAACTTTGGTGTATCAACATTCATAGCGAGGGTCCGGCCTCCGCCTGAACCACCGCCAGGGGTTGAAGAAGGTGCTAGGGTCCAAGAAGTTTATTATGTTTTTTAGTTTTCCCTATGTTTCGTTTTTATTGGATTCTTTACTCTGTTTTGGTTGTGCCGTGTTTTCCGGCAAAAGAACTCTTGAACTTAGGACAGGTGATGGAGAGCCTAGTTTACCAGTCACTGGCTCAGGTATGCCCAATTCAGGATCAGCGAATCTGGTTGCTTCTTTTGAGGTGGCAGATTCCAAGTCTGGTTCAAGGGCAGACAGTAGACGGGTGGTTCTTTGTCTGTTTGTAACCTGCTTTCGTTCATTCTTATTAATATAAGCCACCTTCTTCCAAAAAAATTATTTAGAGATTGAACCCGATATTATCATATATTTTGATTTGCGATCGATTTTAAATAAATACTTAAAATTTGTTTCACAATGATCAAACATCTTCATTGAGCGATACAAATACTTTAACTTTAGCCACAAATATAAAAAAATAAATTGTAAATTAAGATAAAAACTAGTAGTATATATGTTTGCATACACACCTAAATTTTATTATTATTTATATATTATAACATAATGAAGTTAAGGTATTGGTTATCATATACTACATATGATTAAATGTCACAATTCTATCATTCATGTTTGTGAAGTATGTCAGTGTGTGTATATATGTATTTTATACACACAAAATACAACATTACTTATCATACTTATGCAAAATATAGACAAAAATTTAGATGTCTTCGATTAGGAGCCCGCCTAGGCATTGAGCGCTGGGCTGACACCCGACTAGCGTCCAGCGCCTTTTACAACATTGATTGAAGCTTATAAGTTTTTAAACTAGTTTAGTAACGCGCGTTGCGCGTTCGCGATAATGCCCAAGGCCATTGTAGGTATATTAATTCTTTGGTTTATATTGAGTCAATATGAGTAATATGATTACAATATTTGAATACATACTTCTTATGTATTGATAAAGAATCCTAATCAATAAAGTATTTGTAGGCTAGATTGTATGTGGGAAATAAAGCAACCAAGATGACAATAATACTAATCTGTATAGATAGTAGGACTGTAGGAGTAAAATTCACATCAAAAGAAGCATGCATTTGTGTTGTTAATATGAAAACACGCATAACAAACACAACAAGATAAGCAAATAAAAACACAACTGATCAAAACTTTAACATGTGCTTTTAACCAGAAGAGAGCAAAATCATATCTCTAGTCCACCCTACAAAACGTTCAATAATTCATAACATAGTTGCAATATTACAAAATGTTTCAAAATTGATTGCTAATAAAAAGAAAGAGGAGGCCAAAAGGGAAAAAGATGACACTTTCAAAGAGAGAATACGGGTGAATCAATTTACATGAATCAATTTACATTAATTAACTCGACATAAAAAAGAAGCCATGAGTTTGGTGGTATAGCCGCTCCAGCACCGTTTTCTCCATACCCCATAGCCGGTGGAATGGTGAGTCTTCTTTTATCCCGAACACGCATGCCTGTTACACCAACATCATGTCCCTTTATAACCTCACCAATAATACCTAAACAGAATTGGTGAGGTTAAGCACCTAGTATTTCCGAAGCAATATTTTTGCAACTTTGTGTAGTTGATATTAAGCACTGAACCCTAATCACATGTATGGTAGTTGAGGAGCTACTGCTATTGGTTGCCTGAAATGGTTGGATTGTACTGCTTATTAATATGTTTCTAGTCTAGGCTTATAAAGCCGATTGTTTTGATCTTTACATTTAAATTATGTAAACACTTTTACATAATTTATTCCGATCATTAATTTTTTCTAAGGAAACAATGTTGGAAAGCCTAACCAAAACAACACACAAGATATGCATACGTAAAATGGAATGTAGAAAATCAGCTTACCCCAGACAAAACTCGCTCAGCTCAAACTGCCAACAATCTCTTCAGCCTAAACAAGGTTTTAAAAAACACATACAAGGTTAAATTACTCCAAAAAGGGAAAAACTGAAAATGATACAAACAGGGGGAAGCATATGGTGATAGGGTGCGGTCAGCCTAGGAAAAAAACTATTTGACAGTTTTCTCAACTGTGACAAAAATATTTTCAAAACCACCATGTGAAGTATCTATTCCTATGATGAACTGTTTTGATATCAGTGACAGAATGAGTTGCTAATGAAGAAGCAAACCTCTGACTACAGCATACAATATAGAGGCTTTTACAACATAATATAGAGGTTTTTTTCCTAGCCTCTGACTACAGCATATAATATAGAGGCTTTTAAACACATACTCCCTCCATCCCGAAAAGGTTTGCCAAATTTCCCTTTTTGGATGTCACAAAAAGATTTGCCATTTCCATTTAAAGTAAGGAATATGTGGCTAAAGTTAATTCTCTCTTTTCTGCACAAATTTCAATCACACAGTTTTTACTTTATTAATCCACGTGAAAGTCAAAGTTGGCGAACCTTTTCGGGACGGAGGGAGTATATTATTTACCTTTAAATATTAATTAAAAGAGTCAGGTCGCTTATGAGTAAAACAGGTTTGAAGATACGCTTAAAGGGGCTTTTACACCCTTATCTAGAAACCACAAATAGCGGAACAGTGACACAAGATTAAAGACATGAAGGATACATCTCTGAACTGTTTGAAAGGTTTCCTAGAGAACCTGTTTTTTTTCATTTTGCAAAGTTGGCCGACCAATTCCATCAGCTTTCACATCTAATGTTTGTGCTCAAAGATCAAAATAGCTTTCTTAGAGTTTCATACTATTTTATTTGAGTCAGCAGGAACGGTTCATATTTTAATTTTGCATTAGCCACCTCCCCTCCTATGAATTGAATATTGTTGAACATGTTTCAGAATATGATTTTGTTCCGTTCTTTGAGGTCTTTTTTAGCTGCTGGAGTTTAAAATAAAGACCTCTCACCCCCTCCCAAATGAGTTAGAATTCTAGGTTTTTTCAGAAGATCTATAAACCATTGATGTGAAATCCACATATCATGGAATTGAACCAGGATTGTTTAGGGCCCTATTTTCCAGCAGAATGACAATTGATAAGAATGGGACAATGATCAAATATTTTTTTATTAAGATATTAGTGAGTATCTTCTCTCGCTTGAAACCATAATATGTATTTATTATGTACATATATACAGATATAGTAGCCAGTTGAGTTCCTCAATTGAGGAAATCCCATCACAGAAAAACCAATCGGAAAAGGACATGTGTTATGGATTAAATTAGGACCCTACATGAGCCAAATGCTTTAAAGTCTCTTAAGCCTCTAATTCACTTCAGGACCCAATGCTACAACACGCTTCTTATGGCCAAACCGTAAGGGAAATCTTTATTAAAATACTTGACTCAAGTTAAAAATGAAATACTATACTCCCTAGAAAATATGAAATATCATAAGGCTAAGGATTAAAAACTTAAGGGTGTTTTACAATCTGGTGACCGAACTGAGCCGAATGAATTTGGATCCATATCGCAACTTCATAGTGTCATTTGTAGGGAAAAAATCAATCATCAATAGGCATGGCAAAACATTTTTAGTGGTTACTGATTAGTAGCATTATCTTGTAGATCTAGATGTATAAGCTTAACCACCAGAACTTTTTGTCTTTCACTAAGTTTCAGTTTTTTTTAAGATCATGGGCTCTGTGTACCTACCATTTATTCCATTCGGTAATGGCCTCTATCTTCTTGTTATCAACAGCAATTCCCGATCCCGAAACCACGTGCCCGAGAAAGCCAATTTCCTTTAGCCTAAATTCACATTTAGAAAATTTGGCATAAAGTTGCTTCTCCCGTAGTGTCTCTAGAACAAGTATCAAGTGCTCCTCGTGCTCTTCTTCACTCTTTGAGTAAATCAAGATGTCATCTATGAACACAATCACGAATCGATCCAAGTATTTATGGAATACTCGGTTCATCAAGTCCATGAATGCCGCTGGGGCGTTTGTTAACCCAAACGACATAACAAGGAACTCAAAATGCCCATACCTTGTGCGGAAAGCACTCTTTGGTATGTCATCTTCCTTAATCTTCAATTGATGGTACCCCGACCTCAAGTCAATCTTCGAAAACACGGTTGCTCCTCGTAGTTGATCAAACAAGTCATCAATCCTAGGCAAAGGATACCTATTCTTGATTGTGACCTTGTTCAGTTGACGATAGTCAATGCACATTCGAAGTGTCCCATCTTTCTTTTTCACAAAAAGAACCGGTGCTCCCCACGGGGAGTGGCTTGGTCTAATGAAACCATTATCCAAAAGCTCTTGCAATTGGGTTTTCAACTCGTTAAGTTCAGCGGGTGCCATACGGTATGGCGGTATGGAGATTGGTTTGGTGCCGGGCTCGACCTCGATCACAAATTCAATCTCCCTATCAGGTGGAAGCCCCGGCAGGTCCTTTGGGAAGACATCCGGGTACTTACAAACCACCCTCACGTCGTCGATGTTCGTTTCCTCCTTGGTTTTGTCAACCACGTATGCCAGATAAGCGTGACATCCCTTTCTCATCATACTTCTCGCTCTCACAGCGGATATGATACAGCTGTTTGATTTGCCTCGGTCCCCCTCGAAGCGTAGGGTATCCCCATCATTGCCTTCAAGTTCCAAAACCTTTGTGTAGCAATCTACGCTAGCATGATGCTTTTCTAGCCAATCCATCCCTAGGATTGCATCGAACTCCATCATACTCAGCGGTACGAAATCACACGTCAAGGTTTGGCCACCGATTTCCACCATACAAGATGGATAGTAATTGGTTCTTTCAACGTCTTCCCCTAGTGGTGTTGATACCACTAAAGTTTGCGTCATTGGTATTGATTGTATCTCTAAGCCCTCGGCGAACGCCTCACTTACGAATGAACGTTGCGCTCCGGTATCGATAAGGATTCGCGCATGCTTCCCATTAATCTTTAGTGTTCCTACATTTATAAGTCATGTGAGATACCTTTCCTACCATTCTTTTACATTTAGAGAGGTTTATTATGTTCACACACGTGTTTGGGATCAAGAACGGGTCTTAACGTTGCAATACGGCGCGAAAAAGTCGACTTTGGGCTGCCCAGGAGGTACGCACGGCGTGCCTAGGAGGTACGCACGGCGTGCGTGTCTTATAACCTCAAAAAGGAGCTACTGCCACCAACGCACGGACCAACGCACGGACAACGCACGTCCGTGCGTATAGCAATTTCTTCCCGGTTGCTACTGCCACCAATGCACGGACCAACGCACGGACAACGCACGGCCATGCGTATAGCAATTTATTCCCGGTGGCTACTGCCACCAACGCACGGACCAACGCACGGACAACGCACGGCCGTGCGTATGGTCCAGCCTGGTGTGCGTTGGCGGAAATCAGCCGTCTTTCGCCCGATTTCGCTCCGTTTGACCCCAAAACTTCGTGCAATGATCCCAACGACTAGCAACCTCAATTTATGGACTAATCAAGGGTAAAACACAAGTATACAAAAGGTAATACCTGCAACGGAATCCGGGTTAGCTTGAGCATCCGCCTCCGTCATCGCGTAGACCCTAGCCTGGGTCCTTCCTTGGTTCACGGACGGCGCGTTGCTCGCGCTTGCTCCCCCTTGCCCCCTGGTTACTTGGGAACCCCCGGCTTGGTTTCTTGTTCCCGTAGCCCCGCTACTTGGTCCCGATGACCTTGGCCCACCCAATTGTGGGCAATGCGCCTTCAAATGCCCGGTGTTCCCGCATTGGAAGCATCTAGGAGGTTCATGGCATTTTCCGAGGTGACTCTTCTTGCAATTCAAGCAACGAGGCGTCCCCGAGGCTTGTGACCCCGAGTCATGCCTGCTCGAGCCCTGGTTCCCCCTAGATGGTGGCGGCGGTGCACGGAAAGATCCCCCTCCATGGTTCCCCTTTTTGTTGGAACCTTGGGAGCCGTGACTCTCCCATTTTCTCTTCTTCGCCTCTTCGGCGTTCTTCATCTTTCTTTCTTCCCATTCCTTCTCCCCTTTCAATCCCTGCTCGACCACCTGGCTAAAAGTCATGTTAGGCAACTGCGTTGCCCTCTCACGCACCTCCAAGTCTAAGGCATCCCAGAAGTGATTTACCATCCGGTTCTCATCACAGACATACTCCGGTATGAACTCCGTGAGTTCCCTGAATTTGTGTTCAAGTTGCCTCACCGTCATCTTGACACCTTGGGTTAGGAGGGTATACTCTCTCCTCTTATTGTTCACCTCAAAATCAGAATAGTATTGGGCAAAGAACTCCTGTCGGAAATTCTCCCAAGTCACAACATTGCCATACTTCCCCTTGGCTCCATCCCACCATGTGGATGCCATCCCTTCAAGCAATCTTACTGCCACTCTTAGCTTGAATTCGGGGGTGAGTTGCATATCAAGGGCTGCTTCATTCAACCTCTTGATCCATTCCGCGGCGACCGAGATGTCACCTGCTCCATTGAAGGGTTTGCACCCCAAGTCTCGTGCCTCTTTGAGGTATTTGGAGATCCTTATGATCGGACCTCCATCACCCCGGCCCCCGTGTGGTTCAATGTGGGCCCTAGAGTCGCCATGGCTTCTTCCTCTTGAAGCCCCTCCCGAAGTTCGCCCTCCTCGGCGCCTTCGGCGTTCCCTCCTTTCCTCGCGCTCCCGCTGATATTGCTGGAGCAGCGCCTCAATTCTGGCTAGGGAGTCATTCTCCCCTTCTTCATCACTTACATCATCGTCATCCCCTTCGTAAGGGGTCTCAACCGGCTCAGTCTCCGGTTGGTAAGTCGAGTCCTCATAGGACCAGTAGGTTTCACTTTCTGTGTCAACATGACCGTCACTCACGGTCTGTGATCGGCCTCCACGGCCAGCTCCTCTAGATGCCCTAGAGGTCCTTCGACTGCCCTGTCCAGTCTCCACTGGTACACGGCCCGTCGGGTTTCTCCTAGTAATCCTGCCACCACGGTCCATTTCTGAAAGAAATTTGGAAAGAGTCGTTAGACTCGTATCAAATGTCAATTGACGGATAGGTACTTAAGACACATTTTGGCTCGAGTCACCGCCATACCAATTGCTAAGGGTACCATCTTAACAATTAGAGACCTTGCAACCCAAGTACCAAAAGCTCTCCAAGTACAAAACTTCTATGCTCATGGTTTTCAAAATCTTTTCAAAAAGAGAATTTTGAGACTTCATTATGAAGTTTATGGACTAAGGCTCTGATACCAACTTAATTGTCACGCCCCGGACCTCCCCGGACACGTCGACAATCCGCCGTACAATACGAATAGTCAACCGCAGTCTAACATATTCATATTATACAAGGCGTCTTGAATATCATTCACACGTATACATCCATAAACAAACATAATAAGTAATTCATAACGCAGCGGAAAACATTGTCTAAAACAAGAAGGCCACACAAGGCATTTCATGAGCACGCAGGCTCTATAGTAAAATATCCATGAGCAATTTTATTAATGTTTCAAATGGAATGGAGGAAGCACGAACCAAGTCTTCTCTCCTAGGAATCACTCGATCAACGAGCACAAGATGCAAGCTCTAGCCTCAACCTGAAATGGTGGTGGGACGCCCCCGAAGGGGTCAGTACTCTATACGGCTATAAAGTACTGGTGTGGCAGGCATCTAATAGATATACAACAAGTATTTCACACACAAGACCCTCAAATAGGGTGATAATATAGTTTAGGCCGTAATCCCAAATTACCCCTTTTCAAAATATATACTTACTTTATATAAAGTCAAGTAGTCGGCTCAAAGGCCCATGTTTATTACAAAACATTTCCCAAACCCCGTGACTAATAGTCACGACAATACATAGGGTCCAACCCTAATATAACTTCCCATTTCTAGAGTTCGGCTCGAGTACATCATCATGTACTCGCATCATAGATCTCCTACTTCATGTAATCATATCATAGATCTCCTACTTCATGTATTCACCCCATAGATCTCCTACTTCATGCAATCACACCATAGATCTCCTACTTCATACAATCACACCATAGATCTCCTACTCCATGAAATCACACTTGACAGTTGAATCTTATTCAAGTTCATCACAAACAACTCAAACCTTAAGGTTGATTCTATCGACATTTAGAACAATCCTTAACTAGCATCACAATACTATTAAGATTATTCCTACAACTCATTTATCATTAATGGTAGCTCCTCCATATCAATAGATATGTGGCAGCCTCCCATTTGTCAAGCATCATCATGCAATTATACATTTACATACACATCACATTCATACATTAGTTGGAAAGGTCAATTTACCATATTAGCATACCTCTATCTCATATGACTCCATATTCTTCAATATGGTTTCAATTCATGATCAAGTACATTACTTATCATTCACATCATGTTCAAGCATATTTATTCACAAAAACATGATTTAAACATTTAGGTAATCTCATGCATAACCTACAAGTTGTAAACAACTAGATGTCGGTCCTCACCTTAATTGAGCTTTAAACTTTTCCTTCTTGATCCAATGGTCAAAGCTTTGGCCAAGGTGGATTAAGAACTGATTCCTTGCTTAATTATGAGTGTTAAACAGCCTCCTCAAAGTGCTAGCTCAACCCTCAAACGTTGATACGAAAACAGCCCCTAGAATGGGTGTTTACCGATTAGCTCGTTTCCTAGTTTTCCAAGATTTACTCTAGGTTAGTATCTAACCTTTACATCAATGAAATAACTTTACAAGGACATATTACACACTTGTATTAGTGTACAATAGTTCCACCAATCGTTCATATCATTTGGAAAATGAAAGGACAGGTTTTGGGGTTAACAACTCACTTTAGAGGAGTAGATCCGTTTCTGCGAGGTTGCGTTTTGCTCGGACGATTTGGAAGCCTTCCACTACTCCGATTGATGCAAACCAGACCTTCACGGATTCCTCGTCTTGAGAGATTTCTTTTGGTATCTTATACGCCTTAATTGGATTGGTATAACTCGAGATATCCACCAAACAGCTTCAGCACTCTCAGAGCTCGAGTTTACAGACCCCTGCTCACTCCAGCTCGACTTTTGTATGATTACCCTCTCCTCTCGAACAGAGACCACTCAATAATGAAAATAGACTTCAAAGTCTATCCAAGGACACCTTAATCAAGCTATTTGGGCGAGTACAACCCTCAAAATGAAGGGAGACAAAACAGCACACCTGTTTGTGCGAAAAGAGTGGTGGTGGCCCCAAAATTTGATTCCAATTGTGTCATGGACAGTGCTTCTCCATGTGGTGCGGCCAAGGTGAGTCTTCTCACATATTTTCCTTGTCTTGCAGGTACTCAAGCCACATGGAATGCTTCCCAATTGATCTCAATCAAATTGAGGTCCAAAATATCTACCAATACTTCCAAAAATGGGAAGATGGGTCCTATTGTTTTATCTTTGTCAAAGATGTCTTTTTGTACTCATCCTAATTTATTTAGAACAAGTCAACTTCCTAAATCGCATTATTGATCTCCAATATGTGTAGGCTCATCCCAATAATTTACTTGATGGATATTATAGAAGGAAAATCCTACTCCCATTATTTAGCTCAATAAGGCCAAAGATGGGGTTATAGGCAATTGTATTCTTCTTTAATCATTCTATCACTTATTTGACATTTGTCATACATATTATTGGGCTACTAGCCGTGTGGGTCACTCCCGAGTGGGCCTAGAACGCCATTCTCGAATACTTGCTGTTTTTAGCAGGTTGGGCCCAAAATAATGTTTGGGCCGTCCGACCTTCCTCAAATTGTCTTGAAAGATTATGTATCACTATTTAGATAATGTTGGGCCCTTTTATTTATTAATAAGTCCCGAATAAGTATTTGCAAAACCCGACATTAATGTACGAGTTTGAACAGTACGATATTCAACCATGCACTACGTAGAACATTAATCGTTTTACAATTGTTTGGAGATCGGAAATTCAATACATAACTTTGAATATTTAAATCAAATCTCCAAGGACATTCGGGTGCGGTGTCACAATCTGCCTCCATTGACTTATTATCTTTTCACATCAAAAAAAGATGACAATAGTACCCTATCTTTTCAAGTTAGAAAAATCAGTCCATTACGGCTCGAATTTCAAGTCTGGGGGAGTTTGCACTTTTACATTAGTGACGGGAAGGGTAAGCCTTAGATTTCATACAGAAAATCCTTTTCAATTCAAAATTATTATCAATCTAAAAACAGACCACTGTCAAATGTTAAAGATTTAACTATAAAGAAAATATTTATGATTTAACATCTTAAATAAAATCAGAAGAAGTTTTTAAAAAGAGAAACACTGGAAGAAATAGATTTATGATTTAATGTCTTAAACAAAATACAGGGAAAAAGTTCTGTATTGACCAAACTTGAACCAACTATTCCTACTCCTTCGTTTCCTTAAACTGCTTCCCTTATAGATTCTATGATTTTAAGGGCATTCAAAGTTCTCATGCGAACCTCTTTATTTTTCACACTTTAAATCAACCATGTTGTTTTTAATCTTGTTGTAACAGAAGACGAAACAAAAGTTCTTTAGCATCTACTGAAGTGTAAACCCGTAAAACACTGAAGACAATCCTGGAAATAGAACCTAATGATGATTTATTGTCCCAATTGTCTTGAAATGTAAGCTTTGTAGGGCAGCAGGTGAAAAAGAAAATAAGCAATTACAAAGTTATTAGAAAGGTTGAAAGTTCCACGTATGATTGGTTGAACTTTTAAACACATCTGAAACCTATTGAGGGCCTGTTTGGTAACGGCTGCAACGGCTGCAACGGCTGCAACGGCTGAAATTGCTGAAGTGAAAGTGTTTGGTAATATTTGGGCTGAACTGGCTGATTGAATGTATAATTACCAAAAGGGTATTTGTTTCCTTATATTCTGACTATATTTATGTAGATTTGATGGTAAAATCCTTTTGACTAATATGAGAAAATTATTTTTAAAAACTAAACTTTATTAATTATAGTAACAAGATCACATGCATATAAATAAAAAGGAACATAAATTAAACATTAGTGTCAATTGGCATTTTGCAAAAATAAAGGAAATATACATGCAGTAAACATACTCCGTATTACAATGGCACAAACTCTTGAAACTCTTGAAAATTTTGATACGAAATTCATATGAAGCTTTATTGCAAAAAGTAAGGGACAAAGAAGTCAAGTAATATGTTAACGGAAACATAATAGATTTCAACCAAAAAAGCAAGCCTTGGGCTACTTTTTGAACTGATAATAAAAATCAGCAATATCAGCCCCTAGGAGGAGTGTTTGGTGTTTTTTTGTGAATATTTAGGCTTTTCAGCCTATTTTGCTCCTCCAAACGGGCACTCAAACTACTAAACCCAAGAGTTCCCAAACAAGGTGTTACAGAGTAATGGGTTATCCTAACTTTATTTCAAAGTTCAAAACTTTAAACATCCAAATTTTAAAGACATGAAGGATACATCTATGAAGTTCATGAAAGGGGTCCTAGAGAACTTGGCCTTTTCTATTTTCAAAAGTTGGCCGACCAAAGGGGTCCTAGAGAACTTCATTTTTCGATTTTATTGCAGGGGTTTAAGGAGCACATAGTTTATATTATAGAGTACATTTTAAAAAGTTATTAGCACAATAGATGAGATGAATGCTATTTTAATGTTTGTGCTTAAAGATTAAAGTAGCTTTGTTAGACTTCCATGCTAGTCTATCTGAATTAGTAGGATGGGTATATCGATGTGGATGTTTTTTTTAAAAAAAAACTTAAACAAAATAGGGCAGGTATAAGTAGATGTTTGAGAGCAAAGCATTACTTCATTTCATGTAAACATTTAAACAAACACATACATGACACAAAAAAAAACTGAAACTACACAATGGGAAGATGAAATTATCAACTATGGCCCCCAAACTGCTACCATAAACAAACATTAGAGCTCAAATAGTATAGTTACAAAGAAAGTTGGGAGGCGGCAGAGTTGAATTAAAAAAAAAACGTCAAACAATCTCCATGGAAGGTGAAGTAATTAAACGAAACAGAGGAAAATTGCAGGTATACAATGAAACAGAGATGCGGAGAACAGATGGCTAATCACACAAATGCACAGATAAATCAACGATACAAGGCAAATTAGTTGAATAGAGGAAAAATCACCAAAGTAGAACAAGGCAGAAGCAGAAATTTGACCGAAGAGCTGCGCCATAGTATTTATAAGCGACCAACGGACGTCGCTTGAGAAATCAAACTGCCCAAAAGCCATTACTGCGGAGGAGATGCTGAGCGGTTGAAAATGGAAGGAGATTTCAACGGAGTAAACTACGGCAACTAAAGAGGTTGAGTGCGATTTTTATAATAATAAAAAAAAGCTTAAACAAAATGCCAACGTCTATTGCCTCCGTAAGGACATAACGTTGAAAGTGAGAACATATTAAAGATGTATAACAAAATGAATAGAAAGTACAATCACCTCATGCATGAAGTGACACCAACACATTTTTCACGACAGTTTAACCCTCAACAAGATTCCCTCTTATAATATTGTAGAGATTATAAGTTTTTAGCATTGTTTGCAACAACTTCTCAAAAGCACTTTTGTGTTTTTTTTGTCAATAACTATTTTCCAAATCAATGATATTCAACTTTGACCACTAACATATTTATACATGATAATATTGATAATATAAAAATATTCCTTGTTAAAAGCAATATCATGAAAGTATAAATTTATTAAATTTCACATGTATACATTAGTTAAAACAATGAATCAAAGTTTATCACATTTGACTAGAAAAGTCAAATTTAGCTAAATAAAAAGGGATAGAGGTAGTATAATTTTGAGAATTTAAAACATATACCATTATTACCCCCAATATTTTACTATAGTCTATAGTTCTCTAGTGAACCATCCTCTAATCCCCTGCCGGCCTCCCTCCACCCAAAACGTGTGCCCATTAACCGTAATGAGTCGGTAAACAAGTCACACCCTCTCTCCACCCCAACCCGAAATTCCGCGTGGGAGTGAAGCCGGCCATGGTAGATTCTATGCTTCCCGATCAACCCATTAACAAGTCTTCTTCTTTATTCCTCTTCTTCTTCGGTTCAAAGCACCGACTCCTACACGGCCGGTGATACAGCGAGAGCATCGACCTTTCTACTTCAATCTGTTGACCGTTCCATTTCTGACCCGGGAACCAGATCAGGTCCGAAGACCAGTTTTTACCGAATCCGGGTAATTCTCCGGATCTTCCTCCAAGAAGATCCTCCGCAGCATCGATATAATATTCCCTTCTATAGCGCCCATCTTCTCCAATGCGCACAGCGTATAAGACAACACTTTAAATCAAGAAGTGCCTCGCTTCGAATCGCTAGACCGGTTCATTGTGATCGATCTGAGAACCGTTGGGAGTTGGCATTTTCTATCCCATGTGTTGAAGGTTCCCAGATTTCTGACGAGCATGTCTGCCGCTGGAGAGACCGTGGGGCATGTGAATTTCCCGGCGATGGCTGAAAAAGAACGACCCGGTTGCTGCAACCCGGTCAGGAAACCCGGACCTGTATCCATGGACCACGTTTTGTCAGCTCTCGGGGAGAGCAAGGATGAGAGGGATCTCAGAATCCGAAGCCTGTTCAGTTTCTTTGATTCCGACAATGTCGGCTACTTGGGTTACGCGCAAATCGAGAAGGGCTTGTCGGCTATGCAGATTCCTGCGGACTACAAGTTTGCCAAGGAGCTGCTGAGGGTGGTTGATGCCGACAAGGATGGGAGGGTGGATTATCAGGAGTTCAGGAAGTATATGGATGATAAGGAGCTTGAGTTGTATAGCATCTTTCAAGCAATTGATGTAGAGCACAACGGTTGCATTTTACCTGAAGAGCTTTGGGATGCCCTGGTGAAGGCTGGTACTTCCTGCTGCTAATTTCTTTTGATTTTATTATTTGTATATTGCTTGAGGCAATTTTCAGATTAAGGAGATTTTATTTGATAGTGATATGCTTTGCTGCTCAGATTTTGTGTATTTTCATGACTAGTTTTTTTATAACAGTATTTATTGATGGGGGGAGATCAGGATTCAGCATGACTTTGCAGTCACTGTTTATCTCCTCTCTCTCTATATACCTTAGTTTAGATAAGGAGTTTCAAAGAACTTTGACGTGTATGCTTG